TCCTCTGTGTGATAACATCATCATCCATAGCCCAAAGGGGCTTTCCCCCATCCTGTCACAGAGTAGATCCCGCCCGGCTCAACAAAAGGCACGTAAAACATCTGCTAAACCCAACTGCAAGCTCAGGTCAAAGCAGGAAGCCAGGAAGGATTTCACAGAGGAGGTGGACCACCACCTAAGCCACCACGCTCAGTTATCTCACTCTCGTTTGAAAGACAGCATCTTTCCAGAAGTAAAGACAACATAGTTGTTGCGATTCTTCCTTGAAGTGAGCATCCATCCAGCACTTGAAATGCAAAACCAGTCCAGGATTGTGTTCCCGCTTGCCTTATAAACCCCCTGCCCCTCACTATTCCTTAAAAACAGGAAGCCAACAAAGCCTGAATCACCATAAAAACATATCTCTGATCTTATTATAGGGAAAGCTATGAGAAGCTGGCAGGTTTTTGAAACACCTTGCTAACATGCTCAGATTAGTCATACAGGTCAATTACTGAACCAGTCTCACACTTTCCCATCAAAGAAAGACACTGGAGAGCAGAGGCTTTACCCTCCAGCCTTGAAAACATCTCGTGATAATCGTTAACGTGCCAGAAATGGTAAAGAATCTCTCGTTCAAACAGAATAAATGGTGATCATACACTTTTTCATGTATTATGACACATACGCCTCCTAAAAATGTGAGGATTACAGTCTACAACTGTCAGTGGGACTCTAGGGCCCAAATCCCACAGCAGTGGATGAAAACTCTGGCCCCTGACCCAAGCAGGGGTCTGATTTGACAGGAGCTTTGTACATTGACAGTGCCAAAGTGCAAAGCAAATCACAAGTCAGTTTATTCTGTTGTGCTGCCAAGTGGATTTGTTTACTTCGGTATTTGCTGGCATGAAGGGAGGGGACAGAGAGAGAGACCTGTTACGTTGATTTGCCTCATTTTGGATTCAGCCTGACTGAGCACAGTTTCAACAATCCATACCTAGTTTTAAGTGAACTGTACTACAGAGGGCTCATTTAAAATTAGCAAACCAAGGGGACACGTTTCCCTGACCTGTGAGTCATATTCCACATGAATGCCACTCCAACATTATAAAGGTGAAGGAGGTGAAGGATGTTCCACCGGAATATGATAGGACAGACTCTGGGGAAGCATATTTGAAATGTGTTGTTGCTACATGCACGCTCAGCGCTCCACATCATTCTTCTTTTGAAGTCAAAGACAAACTTTCTATATACTTCTGAGGGACCAGGTGACTCAGCACTTTTGAAAATCCCACTGCAATGCTCTAGGAGTCTCGATTTTTTTCTTTTGTTAGCCTATGCTCAACTTCTTATTGATCTGAAAGAATTCAAGAGCAGAATCTGGAGCTTAAAATGTATGCTGCTGCATTAAAACCTAGATGCACACTACCTCTACGTACTATTTTATTGAGGAAAAGTACGATTTTATTGAGGAAAATCCCTTGCATAGTAAGCAAGGGATTTTTACAACCTCTGCTAACTGCAGTTGACTGTGCCTGTGCATTTGAGCGGGACTGCAGACCTACAGAGTCTGCTTTGTTTTGAGCCTGTCTTATCTCACAGGCTGATATCTTCCCGTGTTCCTGAAATAAACATAGGTATTGAAGGCTGCAATTAGATGATTTTGCTAGCCGGCATTACATTATTATTACTTACTCAGGCGATCAACTAACTCTAATTAAAATTCTGAAATGTAAGTATCTTTCAGCAGGCAGTATCAGTGGAGCGAGAACGGCACAGCTGAGCTCTCTGAAGTCTTAGCATGCACAAATCCTGCACTCAGTCCTTAAGTGCACCAAACTTACTGGCACACGTGAGGAAAGAGACCAAAACGGCTCACATTGGGAGCCTCTTCCCGATTCCCAATGTCTATTGCACTTAAATGCACACTTGGTAGGCCCAGAAATAAGGCCAGAATGAGTCATTCTTATTCCCTAGCCCCACTCCCGGCTAGCCAGTGGCAGCCATTAGTAAACAAATGCTTTATATGTCAGCCTTGATACAAATAGCTCGTGTCTACCAGCTTACACAATGAGGCTGTGTGTGTGACAGCCCTCGGCTCCTGTCCCCGGGCAGGGCAACGCTAACTAAAGGCATGACAGGCACTAGCTTCCCTGGAAATGTGCCAGCCAGCGGAGGTCTTAAGTGACCAATGCAAGAGAAGGATGGAGGAAACGATGTTCAAAGAGCCCAGACTGGGGAATTAAACAAACGAGGGGACTCCTAGGGGCCTAATCCTGGTAGGAAGCCTATGGCATCTCCCTCCTTAGGATCTGTGCACATGCACAGATCTGGAACGAACTGTTCCCTCCAGTGGATGTAGTCCATCTCCCAGCCCCACCTGAGGAGGTGCAGAGACATGCTGCAGAAGGTCAGTGGCTCAGAATCACTGCCCCTCAGTCCGCCTGCCGAATGCAAAGCTTTGGCACCACGATGTGACGAGCACCTGCGCTTAGCAGGATTTTATTCTAGTACAGTAAACAGAGTTCACCAACTGTTTGGATGGGCAGGTCGCCCATCTAGGAGTACAACTGTTCACAGCTGTTGAACGCAATGCTGCGTTCAATTATTTGCACCATTTTTTCAACACAAAAGTGGCACCGAGAAAAAAACATTGCGGGGGAAGGGGAGGGCGAATGCTGCCCGAGAAGCTACTGCACTGCCTGTCCACCTCCACGTTCCTCAGGAAGGCAAACAACCCAGCACACTTTTGCTATTTCTAGGCCCATGCATCTTGCAGAATCTAGCTCATCTGTCACCATTCCTTGTCAGACCCTGGGCACCAGCCCCAGTGCAATGTTGCACTTTGTTGTGCCTGCCAGCCTCAATTTTGAGTATTTAATATCTTGTGGCCAAAAGCGGTGCTGGTCCCTAGGATGGGAACCATTAAGCTAGACCTTCAGCGCAGTCTGCAATACCTTGTAGAGGTTAGCTGTATCCCTTGACACCGCAGTCAGGGCAAAGCAGGGAATACTTTGGGGAAGCAAAAAAAATTGCACCCCTGGTTGGTTCTAGCATGTGACCTGGGTCTCAGGATGGAGTCACTGCATCAAGTGCTGGCTTGTTAAGCACAAATTACTGGCTCATGTCTTGCCTTTTCCTCTAACATGACCGGGTGGGAAAGCACTTTATGCTTTCTCCTGTCATCAGACCAAAGCAGCACATGACTAAGTGACCAATGACATCCTCCTTCAAACATTTAACTCAGGAAAGAGGAATTTGCGGGAACAGTTTCAAAATAGGGCATGCAGATTTGATGTCAGCAAAACTGTATTTCAAGACACATGAAAGATTCCTGTTGCTGCCTTATTTATATCCCTGGCTTCTTATTTCAGGGAGGAGAAACATGTAACATCAATGAAGATACCCCCATGCAACTCTGTGATACCAGATCTATAATCAAGCCTGTTCGGGTTGTGAAGATAAACACTCTACCACCAGAGCTGATAGATCACTTGGGAGAATCCTTTCCCAAGAGAGTTGCAAAGAGTCCTCGTATGGTAGGCAGCCAGGCAACACAGAAAAAAAGGCAAATTCAGGGAACTGGGAGCTTCATTTTGAATTAAATCATGTGATGTATAAAGTGATCTAATTGCCTGCAGCTTTCAGGAAAGCATCATCTAAACAAAGCGGGCATGAACACCCATATTCAGAAATTCTATAAAGGTTTGGCCTAAGTCATCTGCTGAAGATTGAGAGTATCTTAACCTCCTGAGAATGAAATACTTGCACTCAATGATACATGAAGAAGTGTAAAAGAATATATAGCCAGGCTGGGGGTGAGAAAAGTGCTTGTCAAAAGAGAGCAAGCTCATCTAGAGCCCTCTGTGACTTATTTCTGTTCCACTCCTCTACATGTCCTTGGCTCATGTGATACTTCATTTAGATAAACTTCAGACAAAGCTTAACAAAATTCTTAGAAAGGCAGATTGTTATGCCTGGCCCTGAATCCAAGGCAATATTTAAGATGGTGTAAAAACCGTATTTCTGTGAGCCTGGTGATGACATCAGTGACATGGCTCTAAAGCCTCCTTCAATTATGATAAAAAGCTTCATTTTGCAGTAAATAAACATCACAGCTAGGCTAAGAGAATACATATGGGATGCCTCAGCCTGTAAAGCTTGCCGACACAGGTAACATGCTGTAAGAAAGACTGTAAAATGATACCACACTCTACATCAGTTCCTTGCTGAGTGTCCTCTCAGAAGCCGTTCCTTCCCAGTAGCTAAAACCACATTTCTGGTATTTTCTTAGAATCAACTGATTTCTATCTCCAGCTTAGGAGATTATACCTGTCAGCTACAAACACAGATGTCCTTTTTTTTTAATCACAAAACTCAAGCTTGTGTTTGTTTTCTCAGTGCTGTTCAGACTTTGGACTTTGATAAATTTCTGTGTAAGAAGTTGTTTGGATGTCTTTTATGCTGCATTTTTCTATGGGCCTGACAACGTAAAGAATCTACATGGAAGTCAAAGCATAATGCCTCTAGGACGTTACACAACCATGAGAGTCTAGCAGCATGAATTTGCTGGAACATTTTATTTTTGATTCAATTTCTAAGAGCTATGGGGTACCACAACTTCAGTGAACCCTGAGATGAGCTTGAGACACTTAACATTTCACAGAATTTACACAAATATATTATACTATGTTTTATGCTTTGGGGTCTCTGCTGCTCCCCATCACTGGCAAAATAAGATAACAGAATAATGTCATATTATTGTTTCAGTCTATTCCTGTACGGTATAGTGACCCTGCTACTCTGTTGCATGCAGAACTTCCACCGAAGAACAAAGGCGGTTTTTTGGCGTTTCTCATTATGAGATAACCCTCTGTACTCCTCAGTCTGTGTAAGACCACCTCTGGGGGTGACATCTGTGTCCAGGTTTTGTTACTCTTCTTTAAGAAAGATGTAAACAAATTCAAAAGAGAACAGGGAGAGCTACAGGAATGATTAACACCTATGACCAACATGCCGAGATGGAGCGAACTGAGTTTCTAATACAGGTAAGAGATAAATGAGGACATGCATAAGAAGCTCCAATTAAGTACAAGGGTGATAAAAAGAAACTGGAAATACTTTGCTTCCCATGTTTCTTTGGGACAGGGTAAGTGAATTCCGGGGGAGCGCACAGATTTCGGTTAAAAACTAGCAATGATTTTCTAACTGAAAAGACAGTTAAAGAAAGAAATACATCATCCTGCAGGCTCTGGTTTATCCCTCTTTCAAGATCAGCTTACATCATCATCGGCAGGTTGATGTTGTCTTATGGCAGAAGGGTAAAACAGACCAGCACTTCTTGATTGTTAAGATAAAAACAATTCTCTTTTTTGAAGAGAATCCATGGACCCTCTTGTATTTTACAATTATTTTGGTGGCTATGAAGAACAAAGCCCTTAAGATATAGCTAAGCTTTACCGTCTTACAATACTTTGATTTTACTATTAGAATTATAAACATTCGAATTTGTAACTGGCAGTAGTTGGGAACCTGTGCCTGCTGACAGGCAGAAACATTTGCCATCCATGTGCATGTTGGAGGGAAGGAGGTTAAAAATAAATACATTCATGGACGACCTCCAGGCCGCCAGCAGCCTGCAGACACCAGCCCTAAACTGGACTCCTGAGGTCCCTTTCAACCTATTGCCTTTGATTCTTTGGACACAAGGAAAGGCTCTGATGGTGCCTGGCTTTCCTTCACCATGATTGTGAGCCATACAGACACCCATGCTGATTCATTATGAGAAACAGCTTTTCCCCCCATGTCACTGTCTGCCTTCCAGATTTGAACGGCTGATAATGTAAAGCAGGTCTGGATCTGGGGTATCCTTATTACTACCCACTCTGAAGGTCAGTTCTGAGGATGGCACTCCCACCAATTCTAATCTGCCTGCTTCTCTGCTCCCCCTACATTCTTCAGCGTCTTACTGCAGAAAGCAACTTCTTGGTCAGCAATGTAGGACAGAAGGTATGGAAAACATTGCTCTTCAAAAGCTAATAGCAACTGAGAGAAACCATCTCTTTGCTGTCTGGAAATGAAGAGCTTTTACTGTCAGACATACTCCTCATGTGCCACCTGCTGGCTACTGTGAAATGCTGCACAGAGAAGAGCGCCCAGTGTTCATAGCCGAGATACTCGCAACTAATATGGGAAAAGGATGGTACAGAAAGACAGTCAGGGTTACGGTTTCTTCCCGGAGTGTGATGCAGGTCCAAAGTATATGAATGCTTTGCCCTTCCCATTTTTCCACCTGGTTGGGTGGGGACCCAACGCAGAAAGGGTCAAGCAACTGCCAAGAAAACCTCCATGGCAGCAGAGTCTTGAATTTCGATTTTAGCCTGGCTTCTAGGGAAAGCTACTTTGGACTAAGCTTTGTGAGCTACGGTTAAGATATCTATGAGATGATGTTGTTCCTTTTCCCATCTCCTTTTAGCTCTGCCTTTGGGCACATCATCTCACTGGGGACAGGAAGAAGAGATGAACAAACCACCTTACTTCTGTACTTGCTTCCACAGCTCCATCTGTGCTTCTCCCTTCTCACTATATCCCCTACTTGCCTTCCTCCACTCTACTGTGCATCCTCTTTTACTACACAGGTATATTCCCAAGCAAATCTGACCATCTCCAGTTAAACTGTCTACTCCTTTGGCTACAAAGGAAAAACAACTCACTAGAAAATGGCTGGGTTGTTAGAAAATTTAACAAGAATAGTAGATAGGACAGATGTCTTCTGTCTAGTATTCTTCACACCGAAAGAATCAATGGTGCTGAACATGATTATACTTTACTGCTACTGCAAGGGGTAACTACCAAAGCCCACTTATGCAGCGCTAGTACTTGGTGTCTGCTCTATCAATAGGAAGTATGATTAAGAGAGTTACTACATATTATTTTAATTTTTATAGGAATCACGCCAGCCCAAAGTTGTTAAGAGTAGATTTGGCGCCTGGTACCTTGACCCTAAAACATGGAAAAAGCAAAATGTGGGCGAACCTTTAATGGATCCGAAAGAAACAGGCAATGGGGTTCACAGTTTTATGACACCACCCATTAAGAAGGTACCATAAGCACTGTACTGTCAGTGTACCACTGACCCTGAGCCCAGCGGAGTTAACGACTACAGGGCACGCAGGTTATGGGAACATGCCTGTGCACCACTTGCAGCGAGAATAAGAGGCATAATCTTACTATTCACCTGACTGGTGACAATGACTGCTTGGTTTTTCACGCTGTGACAGCGAGAATCCACAGTGTAAGGCCTGGCAATGAGCAAACAGTGACAGCTCTTATTATCAGAAAGCTGCTACCTGCTTCCAACCTCACCTGTGACCTGTTCTCTTTATCCTCCTCAACAGAGCTTCGTAAAAGCACCACTGGGTTTTTTACGCATGCTGTCCTTATGCTCAGGAAGAGCTCTCTGCAAACCTCCATAAAGCTTCCCCTGCCAAACTCTCATTCTCAAGTTGTCTGTGGAACTTCCAGATGCCCCGACAGTACAGCCACAGGGAATAACAAGGCTCCTTAATTTGTATTTCTTTTGTACTTGTTCATGATTCCATTTTGTTCTATTATAAAAGTAAAACTGGAAGAAGCACTGTACGCACACAAGGCTTGTTTAAGAGCAGTACTCTCCAACATGCTTAATACAGCAGCTGTGGATACCACGGGATTAGACACTGGCCAGGCTCAAAAGCGCAGCCCTAAATAGCATCCACTACTGCCACTGTCAGAGCCAGAACAGTGGGATAGATGCACCACGTGTTTGATTCAGCAGGGCACTTCTCACTCGCTCTTAAGCTACAGCTGAGATTCCCTGTCACCACACCGGATGGCACAGCTTACAGAATAAAATTCAGAAAGTTCATTTGAGATAGTGCATGTGGGCCAGGACTTCCTAATAACAGCTATGGCTGGAGAATTGTTTATAGAATTGGAATAGTAAATATCCGCCCTACTGTTTTGGTTTTGAAATGTGAAAAGGTGGCAGGTTTGAGGCTCCTGATCTTAGGCCAGTCGGCTGGCTGGTAATTCTGCAAATTCACATGTAGCTTTTCAAAATACAGTCCAGCAACTGCTATCACATTTACTGAATAATCAATGGTGCAATGAAGCCTCCATGTTCACAGAACACTAACTTCCAAACTAATGCCACATCAGAAACGATTGCATGAACAAACTAAAATCTTGCATTAATTAGAAACAGAATTGTGTCCTTAAGACTTCGAGAAACTGTCTCCTTGCCCCTTTATTGTACTGTCGGTTTGGTTCCAAGGAAAGCTTTAAAAAAATACACGATACATTTTGGCGCATTTCTGTTAATCTGCTTCGGAAATTCTCTTAGGAGGCAGAGGTCTCCATGTTCTACGGGATGTGAGCATTTCAAGAATTCCTAGAGAGGAAGGGCTACCAAAAACCAAGGATCAGTTACCGTCTGCAATGATCTGTGCGTTTGCTTCAGAACAGGAACCTCAGTCCTCAGCATCCTGTCAGCTCTTGGGCCATGACTCTTCTCACTTTTCTGTCCAGCATCTCTGCTTCCAACACTCGATAAGTGATCAGTGACTCAGGCATTTCAGCCTTAGTATTCGCCAAGAACCTTGTTTTAAAAAAGAGGAAATAGAAAATAAATTATAGACATCCTAAGAGGAGTTCCAAAGCACAAATTCGCTGCTACTTGGACAGGGTATCATTGTTAACAACCATGACTGAACCACCTAAAACTAGTTATATCCAGCATAAATCCACATTGCCTCTGAAAGGGAAAGGTCTGCCTTTCCTTTAGCCACGCATTCTTGTTTTCTCCCCGCTGTTGGCACAAGTATTTCTGTGGATGAAAAGAAACATTTTTTTAATTTTCTGTGTTAATTTTCAGCTGGATCAGTTGCCTAATCCGACCCACTTCAATGGTCACATGAAAGCAAAGGCCTGCACAAAACAGGCAGTGAGAACAGAGGAGCCGAAGGGTCAGATAACTCTGTTCTGCAACAGTGTGGACTTATGCTGGACTGAAGTGCAATCCTACCAGGAGGTCTGCAAATTATGAAGCCTTTTCAGGTCCTGCCACCCACTGCAGCCACTGCAAACAAGTAATCGTTGATAAAGCTGAACCCCTTGCTCACAAAAACCTCCCTCGCCTCTGAACTGCGGCTGTTTCACAGCAGATTACAAGGATGGCCCTGGTCTAGGAGACCACAGCACTCAAAGTGCATTTGCATCACTGGATGCTGATGGCACCTGGAAGCGACTGAGCAAAAACAGCACGTGCCCTCTGGGGACTATGTAGGACTTGCGCAGGAATCTGGGATCTGGGTTACAGAACTGTCCTTCCCTGCCTGGCTGTGCGACAAGCTTGTCTCTGGTAGCACCTGGGTCCTTTGTGACTCTCTCTTTTTGTAATCATTCAAATGCATTGCTAGTAACAACAATTACTCTCTGAGCACTCAAAGCAATCTGTGTGCTTTGCTTTAGTTTCTTCTGCAGATACTGGGTGAAAAAGAGTCTGGCAACAGAACAGACTTGTATGAGCATGGACGATGACCAGAACCAGAGGAGACCTTTGCCCTTTTCTTGCCCATTAAAGCAGCACCCTGCCTTTCATCACGTGCATTTTTGTGTCTTCAAAATAAACTGTTCCTTAAGGGTTTCTGTAATAGTCACTTCTAAGCTGTGTTAGTTTGGTGTCTCTTCCTTCCTAAGCTGTTTTATCAAATATATTTAAGAAAAGAAATACTGGGGTTAGCAGCTCCAAACACTGCCTCTTCATCTGTGCTTTTTTAGTGTAATGATACAGTAATTAATGATTTTTGTCTGCTCTGCTTCAGGGAGATGACTAGGAATTATAAATTGCAGTATAAGCATACTACCTAAAGAACAGTAGTATGTAGGTGCCCTAACTGATAATCCAGCTGAGCAAGGTGGTGTACAAATACAGAGCATGGGACTGTCTCTGTTCTGAAGGCTAGAAAAAAGGAATTATAAGTAAACTGTGAAAGTATCATCTCCTACGCAAAGAGTTTCAGTAGTTAACACAACTCATTACAGTCAAATGTCTGTTTTAAGTAGCAAGGCTAAGCTGCACCTTGAAGCGTCAACAGTGGTAAAAGAGAGTGCACCCAAACCCACACTCACTGAGAAAGTGCCCAGGCAGGTCCTAGCTTCCCAGCTCTTTTCTTTCACTGTATTATTGAGCAGAAGATCTGAGCGGTGCATGTTTAGCACATGCCTGAACGCATCCCACACATCAAAGTACCAAAATAGATATTTTTACTTAAGCACAAGCTCAGCACTTTGTTGGAGGAGGGCTTCAGAGAAGGTGTCTTAAATACTGTGGCAAGCGAAGAAAGGAAAAATATTCAGATTATGAATTCTGTGTATTTGCACCGGTCACCATATACCATATCAGCCAGGGAACTTCACCGCGAAGACAGCACACTTGTGCTTCTATAAATTCGAATGACATTTACTGTCCTGTTAAGCTGAGGTAGCACTGCTCTAAATGACACTGAAAGATTAAGAAGTTCAAACACTGGAAATAGACTTATTGGGACATCCACTTAGCATTCTCTTTTCTAATGAGATAGCGGATAAAATCTCATCAGTGGGCTTTAGAAATCAAGCAATGACAACACCTTTGTTCAGATAAAGAGAATGGATTTTCAAGACAGCGGTTGAAACTGAATGAAACTGCCTCCCCTAACTCCTCTGGTGTTCATCTTTGGTGTTAATAGTCTACGCTGATAAACATTTTTACAGTTTGTCACTCCAGAATTACCAATTCAAAATACAAAGTTGTAAGTTGCATTTACTAAATTTCTTGGGTTCCTATTAAGATTCATCTGTATAACCTTTTAATTTTGAAATAAAATTTTACATCATCACTTCAAGAGGAAAATTGGGTAGTAAAATGAAGGTAAATTAAAATAAACAGCACATATCCTCTGCGCTAATGGACTCTGAAGTCCTGGTAGTCCAAAAAAAGCTTCCGGAGCATAATACGGAAGACAGGAGAGCAGGACAAAGTTAAGAAATCCAATTGTAGTCATTAGAGTATGATGCAGAAGTTACAAAATTAGTAGTGAATTCATCTCATTTCTCAGGGATACCAGAGAAAGCCTGGATTTCATCAGTACAAGCATTAAAAGTACAAGCAAATCAGTCTCCCTCAGCACACCCCTGTTAGAGCATATAAATCTAAGCCCACCAGTCCCGCTAGAATTAAACTTCATAAACCTCTGCAGTTACAACAGCTCCAATGCTTGCTTTCATGCAAAAATAGGAAAGAAACTCAAGCATTCAGTCCTCAACTTTGGCATGTCATCTCCCTTCATTTTTGTATTATCTGGGGTTTAAAACACTTGCAGCGTGGCTACCTTGTGCAGAGTGCCTAGCTACAGAGACAAAATGAGGAAAGAGAAGGGGAAAAAAAGAGAGGCATGGCTGAAAAGGGAGGGGGGGGCGGAGAGAAAGCAAGCCTTTCAACTTTTTTTCACGTAACCCGTGACTTTTTATTCTGACCTGCCTTTTCCCTCCCTTCAACCGCCCCCCCTCACCCCAGCCACCGCCCGCGCCAGGGGCGGTCCGTGGGCCCCGCCAGGCGCCGAGGGGATCCGCCTCCCG